GATAGATGGATCAATGGATGGATGGATGATGGATGGATGGATGATGGATGAATCCAGGCAGGTGGAAAGACTGAACTGGACAATAAAGGATAAATTACTAACAAGAGAAGGTTGCCATATTCACAGCTTCAGTGGTTTTCACATTTGGTACAGCAGTGCCACATAGTGGCAGAAGAAGAGAGAGGAGAGAAGAGAAGGACTGCAGACATAACTATAATACAAGAACAATAATATGATTCCTTCCATTCCTTGCCTGAAGACACACTGGCACAGCAAGAATCTTTTGACTGGTGCTGTGATCCGGATCGAAATATAGCAAGAATCTTTCAATAAGAACGAGCCAAAGCGACAACACCTGCCCACTCTCCTCAGAGGACGAATCAAAGAAAGGAATATGAATATGAAGACACCGACACTTGTCGAAAGGAATACTATTCCAATGAAGACACCGACACTTACCTTGGACAGAATCAGACAGCTCACCAGATCACCCCTAGACTGCTACACAGTGACTCCATAAGACAGCCAGGCTGAAGCCACTGTGCCACTGTTATAGGTAGGTAACTGCATGCTGTATCTCATCATTTCTACCTCCTCACTCGACGTCACTCAAACACTTCTGTACACCGGCAGGATTTCAGTGTCATCTTGTAACGTTATAAAGTGTTGGGATCAGGGAAACAAAAGTCCTCTGACAAAAGTGTTCAATGCAGCACGCCTCACTTCCCCCAGATACTTTGATAACATTCAATGCATTGTTTTATTGTAACTGAGCACATCATGTGTACGCACACAACCCCTTTTTTTTAAAAAAAAAAAAAAAAACCTCTGTGAGAGTTCCTCGTGATTTCCCCTGTTGCCCCTCCTCTCTACGTCGCATTTCTTCTTTTGCTGCACAGTAGCGTACGTGAACACACCTCAAGGGTCTTAGCTTGGTAGCTAAGAGGCAACATCTCTCTCTGACACACACACACACACAGTTGTGCCTTGTTTTGTTGTTGTTAATCATTATTTATGTATCAACTACTACTACCGTTAAGTGATAGTGTTGTGTTGTGTTAAGAAATCCGATTACTGTTGCTATTTTATTCATTCATTCAAAAAAAAAAAACTTCAACCGCTCTGATTGTTTAGAAATACTATTGATTGTAGAATATATGTTATATGGTAAGTAATACACTGCCTGGCCAAAAAAAAAAAAAAAAATCGCACCCTGGAT